CCATTTCATGCATTGAATTTGAAATTATGTATCTAACCCACAATGGAAAGACCTCCCGCACTGTTTAGTCACAACTTAAATGTATAAAACTACATCTGTGCCACAATATGAGTCATGATGACATAACATGTAACGTTATGACTTTAAACACAGCATGAAAAATATCTCTGACAGTGGATATAAGGAGAGGAATAATCCTGAATATAACTTACATATATAAGCCAATTTGTCTTTTGCACTGCAGAAGGCAGAATGTCTTTGTCTGCCCTTACCCATCATTTAAAGCTTTGTGGGAGCCACACTGGAACTAATTAATTCAGGCTGTCTCAAGAGTCAAAGACCGGTTTTAACAGGAACTATGCAGTTCCAGCTAACAGTAAGAGTGACGAATGCTTACATTGTATGCACAGAAAATGTCAATTGGCTTGAAGGATTAGTCCGCTGTCACCATTTGTGTCAGACAAACACCAACTTACAGTATCATCATCATTGACTAAATGTCCTGTTCCTTCAAGTGATTTTAGCACAATCAATCCAGCATTCTAGTTTTGATACAGGTTTTGAGGTTTAAAAAAAACTCAAAAACCAAGTGTACGAAAACTGTTAGAAAATTTGAGACACTGTTCTTGCAAACTGTATTGGTACACAGACCAGTAATTATAAGCAATAGGTCAAATGTAATCCTCAAAGTCAAATTCCCTTCTCCTGAGATGCAGCACTGTAACTTACACGTAAGCCTTTGGTCTTTCCAAATCTAATGTTCTCGCAATCCGGTATCTAATATACATGTCTGATTAAATCTCCTGCAACTTTAATAAAATTTGATACGCATCCAATTTGTATACTAGTAAGTCCTTACCACATTGAGAAGTAGATGAATTACGTATACTTATAGTACTGGTAATGTTATCATCTATGGTAACAATGGCATCATATGTACCATTTTTGTGAGTAGAGTACTCTACCAATACCATTATTCAATCACGTTAATAATGCAATACATGTTTTTTTGTTTTTGTTTTGTATTACTTATTACGTAGTCCATAATTGGGTTGTTGAGCAGATCTGGCAAAATATGACACTGGGAGTGGGAGAAACAGGCTAATAAAATGATATAGGACAAATGTAGGTTCACATCCCTGTTTTCGTACCACATTTCTTGCTTTATCCCAGTAAATGTGTACCACATGTAGTAAATTATCATCATAGATATATTATTTGCACTTAATATTATTAGACTCCATATGCATGCAGGGATCTTTCAAGATGGATTAGTTGCTAGGCAACCTCTCTCCCCACCCCAAATATGGTCATCCAGATGTAATGAAGTTACCAGTAACCTTTATCATGTTTATTATGGGTTCACCACACCACGAAGTGGTGGTGAACCCATATTGCTTTTTCTGATGTTTCTTCTCCTTCTTCTTCTCCTGCCATTTTTAAATGGATTCAGCTTCTTCATTTTAGGGCCTAAGGTCCTGAAATTTGGTATGGAGGTACAGTGGGCAAATACCCCTAGGCGTTTTTTAAATTATTGTGATAGAGGCTTTTAGAATGGTTTTATTTGAGTTTTTTGGCTGTGTTATAGCAAATGTATTACTGTGTTAGTGTGCCTTGTTTACCACGTTTGGGCATGAGTCATCACAATGGAATGCAGGGCATCAACCAATAGGCATGCAGCTTTCCTCTATTCTTCTTGCTGATTGGCTGTTGGGATTTAACTTGATCAACACCTGCACAGAGCATTTCCACCTGCACAGAGCATTTCTTGCTGATTGGCTGTTGGGATTTAACTTGATTAACACCTGCACAGAGCATTTCCATACTGACAGTATGTCTGTATTCAAGTGTTTTGGTAGGTATTTCAAGCTTTCCTGCTCCAGCATTGGAATGCGGGGCATGGACGTTTTTTTATTTTGAAAATCAACAGTTTGCATTATGCAATTAAAAATCCTAACCAATAAAGTAGGAAATAGCTATCCAACTGTTGTTTTAGTTGTATTTTACTTCATATTATAGTATATCAATGTGTTTCTCATTCTTTCCCTGCCATGTCGTAAAATGTGGTGAACCATCGCTGTATTTGCTCCAAAGCAAATATTGGCCTTTCTAGTATTATAGTTATATCAATGTAAATCATTGTTTTCCCTTGTGTTTCTCATTCTTTCCCTGCCATGTCGTAAAATGTGGTGAACCCATCGCTGTATTTGCTCCAAAGCAAATATTGGCCTTTCTAGTTGAAAGATTCAATTTTTCTCACTTATGTCACAGAACACTTCTCTGGATTAATGGCTGCACATGTTGTCAAATCTAACTGTCAGTACATACATTTTGTGAATAAGATATGCAACTTCTTCTGAAATAATTGGCTTTCTGTCTGACTTGGAGGTCTTTTTTTGATAGAGGTCTTATTTCAACATTATCAATACATAAAGATGATGCATATTATGATGATTCATACTCACCTTTACCACCAGGTGTCATACAATGAATAGACGTACTGTCCTGAGCATTATGTTAATTGCCATCTTTTTCTTCATTTTTCACTAGGCATATGGCATTGTGTGGAAAGCTATTGACAGAAAGACAGGAGAGGTGGTGGCACTGAAGAAAATATTTGATGCTTTTAGGAACAGAACTGATGCACAGGTGTGTATTTTCAATATTGAATTTCACTTATACCTGTACTAATAGCTAGAATTCCAGTTGAAGATTTAATAAGATCTGTCTTGAATCAAGTATGTTCTTTGTTAATGTTTATAGCACACATGATTAGTTCTATTCTCATAACATATGCATGTTACATGTGTGTTATATTATGAATCTACATGAAATATATACTGTGTATCCTGCAGCGAACGTTCCGAGAGATAGCGTTTCTTCAGGAGTTTGGAGACCACCCCAACATCATCAAACTTCACAATGTCATCAAAGCAGAGAACGATAAGGATATCTACCTAGTATTTGAGTTCATGGGTATGTTTATCTAATATATTAGTACTGTCTTTCTGGTCTATATGATAAGTGTGCAGACATCAACATTTGGAGTCAGGTTTAGATGACAGTAATACCATAATTTATGAGTATTTCGTAACTTACATGTAAATATTCTAGAATGGAGACTAGAGCTGACCTTTCAATGACCGTCTTCTTCAGGGCAATTATATTATAGCGTCATTACACAATGAACCAATCATAACTATCCTAATGAAGATGACAGACAGTCATAATAATAAATTTAAAACATATTGTGGTTGTGAATAAACAGCTATTTGTAGTCTTACTTGTCTGCCATTCCCTGTATGTATAGACACAGACCTGCACAATGTGATTAAGAAAGGCAGCATCCTGAAGGACATCCACAAGCGTTACATCATGTACCAGCTGCTGAAGGCCATGAAGTACATGCACTCAGGGAACGTCATACACAGAGACCAGAAGGTAAGCATAGAGGTAGAAATTTGATCCACAGAGTGGGGTTAGGGGGTCCCTGTCAAAAACCCTGGATTAAGCTAATGTTATGGTAAATGCACAGTGAGTCATCAGTTGTTAAAGTCACCAAAAAAGGCAGTAGTCCTTGCTGTTTTGTATGTATATTTGTTTGTTTATTGAGATCTTCATTAGTATGGTAAATTCCATACTATTCTTTCTGGAGTCCAGCAACATAAAATTTTGCCAGTGACCTGTGTTACCATTTTCCCACCACATTACATCATGTCCACCACCCATCTCCAATCTCCAATACAACATCCCCAGTAAATGTACTCCTGTGTACATTGTACATGTATATGAAATTGTACCTGTGGGGCATAATCAGGACAGAATACCTACTTCCATATTTATTCAAGACTTAGTCATTGTTTACAAAGCTTTACTTTCTGGTCTCTGCAGTCCATGACTGACTGAAGTTTTCTCATACAGGTAACTCTATTTTGTTAATTGAACCATTTTTTTGCTTTGCTTTGCAGCCTTCAAATATTCTTCTAGACAGTGACTGTTTCGTGAAGATAGCAGATTTTGGACTGGCCAGGTCAATAACCCAGCTGGAAGAAGACACGACAGACCCCGCCCTGACAGAGTACGTGGCCACACGGTGGTACAGGGCACCTGAGATCCTGCTGGCCTGCCAGAGGTAGGGTTCTGTTGTAGCTCTCATATAGCTGAACACATTAAGGATTAATATGTGATCATCCTAAGAATGAATTGCAAATGATTTTCATCACAACTTGCATTGTGTGTTTGAATGAATTTGTGTTTAAAGTTTTTGAATGCAGTTGAGTGGCAGGAAGGGGGGATTTGGCACTACAGGTTGACCTTAAGGTCAATTTGGCAGCCGTAATGGTCTCTAAGCAGGGTGGTGCATCTGCCCACACAGTGACCCCGGGATATTCCCATGTAGACTACTAACTAAAGCTGTAATCCTGCTAGGCCTGTTGAAAGTATGCCAGACTCTCTCTTTGGTTGTGCCATTAAATTCACAACAAGAACCTAGAGTGCTGACTTCTAAGATAGAAGCCCTGTTTGATCACATTTTAAGAAATCCATTGATGATGCACCAGAAGATATCATTGTTGAATATTTCTCATTCTTAAATGTCTGTCTTCTCTTCAGATATACCAAAGGTGTAGACATGTGGAGTGTGGGCTGTATCCTGGGGGAACTCCTGATAGGAAAACCCCTGTTCCCAGGCTCCTCCACCATCAATCAAATTGAGAAAATCATGGCTTCAATAGAACCACCAAACAGACAAGGTTAGGTTTAGTGTTCTCAATTCTGTTCTTGCATGAATACATCTTGTTGAACATTAAATGGACTAGTTTTTTGTGTTGAATGTTGTGGATATGGAGTGAAATTTTGTATTACTCTAATGCGGGCCCATGAAGTTTGAAACTTTTGTTTAGAAATCAAGTGAAGCTTGTTATTTCTTCTGGAAAATCTCTTGATTTCTAGTATTCAGGTTCTCTTCCTCTGATTTCAGATGTAAGCAGTATACAGTCTGCATATGGGGCTTCTATCCTGGAGAAGGCAGCAGTAAGGTAAGGGTCAAGCTTACAAGTAACAAACCTTGGTACATGCCAGTTGATGGAAGATGGATCTATTGCCAACAACAGTATTAGACTATTACTACTGTTTGGCTCTTTTCCCCTGGCTATTTTTTGAATGCACAATTACTAAAAGAGACTGACTTAATAAGCTGGTTTATTTTGTGAAATATCTGTGTTTTTAGATGCCACATACTTAAGCTCACTGTACATCTAAAGTAGATATTATGCAGTTGGGAAACCTGATACCATTACATATATTATTCAGTAGTGGTCTTATATCTTTGAATAAGCAAATCTATGTTAACAATGAAGCAGCTGCAATGAAGAAACAATTTTTTATTGCATGCAAGGATTAATAATGAATTCACCTTCCTATATCATCTGCATTGCTACACATTTTGGTTATTGACTCTAAAAAATAGATGCCTTTCAAGCCAATGTTGTTACATTTGCCTTTCTAGGTAAAAAAAATAATAAGGT